CCAAAATGAAGGAGAAACTGAGAGCTTCCAGATGAAAGCAAGCTGAGGGATTTCATTACCAGGAAAGAGTCCCCTAAAAAGAAACACTAAAGAAACTTCTACAGTTTGAAACAAAAAGACACCTCATGCTAACACAAATCCATGTGAAAAATAAAGATTTCTGATAAACATAACTATTTAGGTAAATGTGATGGTATCCCATAGGCCCTGTTCATTGCTTCCTATACATATACATACATATATATAAATTTTTGCTACTCAGACTTGATAGCTTCAGTTGCCCTACATGCAACTTTGACTTTTTTTCACCTGTTTAAATCTCCTGTTGAGCACTTCTGATGGGTGTTTCATGTCGTAATTTTTAGGTCCAGGTTTTCTATTAGTTTCTGTCTATAATTTATTGATATTCCCTATTCATGTTTCATTCTCTTAACTGCCTTTTTTCTTAAAATTTAAATTTTTTCATTAACTGTATGAAATATAAATGAAAAAATATTTTTCATTGACTATACGTCTCATTGAATATGTTTGACACGTAACTGTAAAAGTAAGGTGTACAGCATGTTACTGTGATCCTCTATGCGTCAGTGACTAGCACCCCAGCGACAACTGTGACATCACACCATTAAAATACAACGGTGCCGTCTGTGCTTGTCAGCTGCGCGCTGGGTCTCTGCTGCGACTCTTGGAGACTCTTGGAAGTTGGTGCCCTTAAACCGCATCAGTCCTGGCATCAGCCCTGTCTCCTTGCTCCCTCCGCACCCTGGTGCCCATCCCTTGACACGCTGTTCTGTTGCTGCTGTTGTTTTAACAAATGTGACGCTTTTAGATTCCACATATAAGTTACACAGTGCTTGTCTTTCTCTGACGTCTCACTCTGCATTCTGTGCTCAGAGGCCATCCCTGCTACTGCAAATGCCGGGATATCCTTCCTTCTCGTGGCTGAGTACTACCCCATCGTGTGTCCACATCTTCTTTATCCGTCCACGTCACGCTGGGCATTTAGGTTGTTTCCTGGTCTCGGCTACTGTGATGAGCACTGCAGTGACACCGGAGTACGGATCTCTCTTTGAAACCCTGTTTTTATTTCCTTTGGGTCCATACCTGGAAGATCCGTTTCTGGAAGGTGTGGTAGATCTATTTTCAATTTTTTGAAAACCTCTTTTTTGTTTTCCAAAGTGAAAGAGAGAACGTCTGTTCGCTGCCGCTGGGAATGTAAGCGGCCTGCCAGGCTTCCACCACACCCCGCCAGCGCCGCTGGCTCGCTGTCTCCATGACAGGCATTCTGCGAGGCGCGAGCGCATGGTTCTAATGTGCATTTTCTTACGATTAATGAGGTTGGGTGTATTTTCATCTGCCTGTTGGTCACCTTGGTGTCCTCGGGGAAAATACCTAGTTAGCTCTTCTGCCCATTTTTTAATTAAATTTTTTGTTTTTAAGTTTGATGAGTTCCAGATGTATTTTGGATATGAGCCCTTATATACAGTAGTTAATGATAGTATATGGTTTGCAGAAACTTCCTCCGTCTTGTAAGCTGACTTTTGTTAACTGTGTCTTTTGCTGTGCAGAAGCTTGTGCGCCTGTTGTCCCATTTTGTTGACTTGTGCTTTTGTTGCACTGCCAAGACCAGTGTCAAGCAGCTCCTGCCTTATGATTCCTTCCAGGTGCTTTTCATCTTGTCAAGTGTTACGTTTAAGATGCTTTTTGTGAGTAGTGTGGGATAGGGATCCAACTTCACCGTTCTGCAGTTTTTTTTCCCCCAGTTTTTTCAGCACCATTTGTTGAAGGGACTACCCTTTCCCTGTTGGACTCTCTTGGCTCCCTTGTCAAATACTAAATGACTGTGTATGCCAGGATTTCATTCGGGCTCTCTGTTCTGTTCCACTGGGCTGTGTGTGTGTGTTTGTGCCCGTACCACGCTGCTTTTACTAGCATGGACTGTAGTAGTTTGAAATCAGGAAGCTGATGCCTTTGCTCTTTTTTCCCCGCAGGATGGCTTTGGCTATTCTTTTGTGGTTCCATGTAAATTTTAGAATTGCTGATTCTGTTTCTGGGAAGAATGCTTTTTGACATTTTGAGGGGGGTTGAGCAACACGTGTAGATGAACTTGGATGGTATGGATGTTTGGACAGTAGTAATTATTACAGTCCATGAACGTGGGATGTCTTTTCATTTGCTGTGTCTTTAATTTCTTTCAGCAAAGCCTTATAATAGTTTTCATGGTACAGTTTTTTCACTTCCTTGCTTAGGCTTTGATAATACTGTGAATGGGATACTTTTCATTATTTCTTTTTCAGATGTTTCATCATTAGTGTAACAGAATGCAGTTGATGTCTGTATGTTGATTTTATATTCTGCAGCTTCACTGAAATTGTGGATTAGGTCCAGCAGTTGGGCTGACTCCGGGATTTTCTGTGTATACTCGTATCCTGTGTATTTCTGTAGTATCAGTTGTAATGTATTTTGTCTCTGAGCCTTTTCTTCTTTTCTTTAATAAAGGCTGGCCAGTTTTATCTTTTCCAAGAATTTTGCTGATCCTCTTTTTCTGGTTGATTGGATTATTATCTCCTTCCTTCAAGTGTGAAGTTAGGCTGTTTGAAATCTAATTTCTTAATACATATATTTATTGTTACAAACTTTCTTCTCAACTAATTTTTGTTGCATCCCACAAGATTTGATGTTGTATTTCCGGTTTCATTTATTTCAAATTAACTGTATTTCTATTTGATTTCTTCTTTGACCTGTTGGTTAGCTTACACATATTTGTACATCTGCTTACTTTCTTCCTGTTGACTTCGTTTCACACTATTGTGGTCAGAAAAAAAATAACTGGGTGTGCACGTCGGCAGCATACATGCTAACGCTGGAATGACAGGAATGACAGATAAGATCAGCATGGCTAGAGAAATAGTTGCAATGATTTCAGTTTCCTTGAATTTGCTCAGATTTGTTTTCTATCCTGGAGAACGTTCTGTGCGCACTCGAGAAGAACGTGTAGTCTGCTGCTGTTGGGCGGAATGTTCTATTATTGCCTGTTAACTCCATCTGTTCTAAAGTATACTTTCAAGTCCATCATTTTCTTGTTGATTATTCTCTCTGGACAACCCTTATTGCTGACAGTAAGGTGCTGAAGTCCTCTACTATTGTTGTATTGTCGCCCGTTTCTCCCTTGAGATCTTATTAGTTGCTCTGTATCTCTTTGCTCTGGTGTTGGGAACATATATATTTACATGTGTTACATCGCGATGTATTGACCCCTTTGTCATTTTATTATAACGTTTGTCTCTTGTTCATATCTTTGATGCCACAAATATTTGTTACCAAATTGTAGTATGGTTATAATGTTCCTTCTCTTTAACCTTAATGCTGTAATTGTTGAATGCACTATTCAAAAATTCTGACTATCTACCACCTTATCCAGTGTTTTTATACTTTTGGCTTTTTGTTCAAATTGAAGAGCTCCTTTCAACCTTTCTTGAAAGGCAGTCTAGTAGGGGTGCCCTCCCTCAGCTTTGTCTGTCCGGGGAAGCCTTTAAAGGATGACAGCTTTGCCGGATAGCATATTCCTGGCTGGCACAGGTTATCTTTCAATGCTGTAAGTATGCCATGCCACTCACCCCTGGCTTATAGTTTCTGCCGACAGCCTAATGTGGGGGGTGGGTTTCTTGTTTTCCTGCACTGCCTTTAAAATTTTTATAATGTGTTTTAGCGGTCTTTTTGCACTGAGATAAGGTGTACTGTTAGCTTTGTTGACTTCTGTGTCCAGTTGTTACTCCTATTTTCAGAAGTTCTCAGCTGTTATTTCTTTAAATAAACTCTTTGCTTCACCCCTCCTCCTGGGCTACCTACCCAATTACTCTTATTGTGGCTTGTTTTTTCACTTTTAAAAACATCTCTACTTTTCCACCTGAATCATTTCTGAATTTTTGTCTTCCAGATCACTTATTCTCTCTTCCATCTTATCTGCCCTATTTCCAGTGCTTTCTCATGCATTTTTCATCTCATTTTTGAGTTCTTCATGTCTAGAATTTGGTTCTTTTTTAGAATTTCAGGCTCTTTGATAAAAGTACTTTTTCTGTTCATTTTTATTACTGAGAGCAATGAATTTCCATTTTCCTGTAGTTCACTTAATATCTTCGTAACAGCTATTTTGAATTCTTTATCAGTTACTACTCAAGTCTCTGGGGTCAGTGGCTGGAAAACTCTTTTTGTGATGCCCTATTACTATAATTTATTCACGGCATGTGATGAGGTGTTCCGCCGCTGCTGCATTTGAAGCCAGTACCTTTCAATTTAGGTTAAGACTTAGTCCGGTAATTAGCAGCCTTTCTTCCGTCTTCCAGCAGGTGGTGCGACAGCACAAGTTTCTGGTTTCTCTTCCCAAAGCTGACTCCCAGCTAAGGTTGGGAGGGGCCTAGGGAAGCCACAGGAGGGGCTGGCAGTGGGGTGCGGGAGGCACGTGCTGAACACGGGGTGGGGATTGTGCCCACTGTCCGCCCAGTTTGGGGAGGTCCTTGAATAGGGCAGTAGACTGCAGGAGCCAGGCTCCTTCATGTCTCTTTGCTGGCCCCCTTACCTTTCCTCGCAGTCTTGGAGGCCTCGACCCAGAAATTCGGGTGCTGCTGAAGAGCAGCAGGGCCCTCCAGCTGCAGCCTGGGTGGCTGGGCTATTTTGTATGTAACACAGACTAAATACAGCACAGAAAAAGGCTACAAACTTTCTTTTCCCTTAAACACTTTCTCAGCTATCTCCTGTAGTCGCTGTATTACCCTGGAGGTTTTGTGTGATTATTTCTGTCTTTGGTCGTAAGTTTAATTTGGATGTATTATCATTTTTGGTCACTTATTCTAGGACCTTCGTCCAGCCCTTGCTGTGCCAGTGGTTAAGATCCCACAAGTGGAGGGAAGGGTGGCATTCTGTATAGACTTCTTTAAGATGCCATCACCCACCCACCGCCCCTTCCCACTCATTCAGTTCAGATGTACGTGTCGTATCCTTACCCTATGCATGACGTGGCGCTGGGGCTTCGGCATGAGGGCTGGGGAAGGAACCAGGAGGAAGTTCAGTCCAGTACCAGTCAGCCTTGGAACAGAAACTACCCATCAGGTTCTTCTTTCAAATAGCAGGATTTCAGCTGTAAAGTTCTGTCTCCTTAAACAGCTTTGGGGCTTTCCTATAGATTTTAAAAAATGAAAGCATATTCTTTTCAAATATTTGAAAAAGCTTAAATATTAAAAGAACATCTCACGATATAGGTCAAAGCTAAGGCTTAATTGAATAATGCTCTTGCGCTGAGTGTTCTATGATCAAAAGAAGACATCATGTTTTGGTTTTTTTTCCCTGGCTGTCTGTTCAGCATCTATTGTGAACGTAAGATTGCCTCAGTTTTTTTGCTTTTCCTGAAAGAGTAATAGAATGTCTTTTTAAAGGAATATTCCATTTAGCATTATATTTTATTATTAGTGAACCTATTCTGATTGATTGAAGAATTTATTCCTACTGGGGACTGGAGTGTTAAGTGAAAACAGAAGTACTGAAAATGTTAATTACATGCAGAGGAAGAAATTTTATGTGTTCAATAATGCATTGTTACAGTGGTAGAGAAACATTAACTTTGTAACCATGACAAAGCAGACGCAGAGCCACAACCTAATGGTGGCTCAATATTTCATGCAATATTGCTCCAGGCAAGTAACACACTTGTACTGAGACCCTGTCATGCTGAGAAAACTTTCACTGACGAGCACAGAACTGAAGGCACAGGCTTCGTTTGTACACTGGCAGCCGACTCACCAACTCCTCAGAGAGAGAGAGCTGCCCCCGTTCTCACGCTGACCCTCAGGCGGCTTGGACCTCCACCTGCCAGCTCCCCGTGCAGACGGGCTAGAGCCAGATGGGTTTTCTAATTGGAAACCATAGATTTGGGAACCAGTTCTTTTAGTTTTTATCATCATTGTTTACACATCAACCTACACACAAATTTATCAACTAAATTCTTTAACCGCATGTTGAGCAACTTCTAGTCAATATTTTGTTGTGCCCTCAAGGAACTCCTAGCGTTTTTTCTGTTCTGTAAGCAGGCTTGCGTAGAGATGAAGGTCAGCATCAGGTGTCTGATTACTATCACGTACAAGGAAGAAGCTGCCTTTTCATTTCCCAGCAATGCCGTTCTGGCTTTAGCAGGACCCCCCCCAGGACCCTGGCAGTGGCGGGCAGCTCCCTGCCCTCTGCCAGCATCCCCACC